TCTATCCTTTGAGAATTTAAAAGAAAAGAAAAACACAAACCTCCATTCAAAGGAAAACCCACTGAACATTCATTAGGTAGAATTCTAATCTCTTCTAATAGATCATTTAACTACTTAAATAAAAAATCCTTATTAAAACAAGGATAGTGTCTGACAGTGTAATAAACTACTTTGCGGAAGATAGGATTCTTCATATTTTACAATTTTGCAATAAACCTGAAACTGGATTGACTGTGAAGAATAATGTAAGATCTGATTAAAGTTCAGATTATTGCCCAAACATATGGATGTTAAATAAATCGCATTAAAAAGAATTACTCTTGCCCTTGGCTACTCTCACACCTCCAAACAAAGTAATGTTTCTTGATGATCTCAATAAGTTACTAAACTGCCCTTAAAAACCTAATTTTGCATGAAACCCTGGAGCAAAACCTTGGCAATATTAAGATGCAGATTTTCCATGGAGCAGCATATACTTATTTTGGCCCCCGTGGCTGTATGCACTCATTTGATATGCACCATAAAACCGGCAAGCAGCCCTTTGTCAGGAACTCAGCAGTTGCCAAACATGAAACATGGAAAAATTATGGGAACTGGTGCCAATTTTTCAATTTATAGCTTAGCCCTTTCTTTTTCGAGTTAGTTTTCTGGTGATTCTAAATGTGTTTTGAGGAGCGAAGGCAATAAATAGTGACCAACTACCTTTAAAAATGTGAATTGAGATACCTTCTGGAGTAGTATCTGAAAGCACATTTGAACATCTATGCTCTTGATGCTAAGTCTTCCCCTGAAAGTGAATTTATAATTTTTTCCCATATATGGAGTAGAAAAGCATTAATTTTTATCACATTAAATCAGGAGCTTTGATAACATTCAAATAAATTTTCCGTATAAATTTTACTAATTTACTCTTAACAAAAAAAGATTTGCTAGAGGAAATAATATTTTTAATGCAATATAATATTTAAAAACTTTCAATAATCACTCTTAAAATAATGCCATTATCATTCATTTCCCATTTAGGAAAAAAAATTAGTAATATACATTATCTGAGTTATTTCATCCATCATTTTAAGCTTATAGCTGGCAATATTTTATTAACCTTTGTTTTCTAACTGCTGGTAACTGAAAGTAACACAAGTATTTTCTTTGGAAAACGTTCAACAACTCAGCATTTTTTATTAGTCAGGTCACATTTTCACCAGTTTTCCCACAGGTTATTTTTATTTAGTGAAGTTTTGCCAATCATCATAATAGGGATACTCTGTGACAAATGAGAGGCAAATGCCAATATGTCCCCAAATATGAATATTATTATGAAATGGATATGCTTTTATATGCACCTAAAACTCTTTCAGAAGATGGAAATAGTCACTTGAGCATTCACCTGTTTGGCAAGCTGGAAAATTCCAGTCTCACAGGAGTTAACTCTTCACCTTTCCTCTCTGCCAAACATTGTCAAAGAGGCAAAGTAAAAAGAGCCCAGGTGTAAATTATTTCTGTGACCTTCATCTCACATGTGGCATTCATGGTGAAAACAAGCTGCTTTTTGAGCTTAGAGTTTATATAAAAAATTATTCAGGAAAAATACTGACCAATTCCAGCTTCTCCAACAATCCAGGAGAGGCGAATGAAGAGCATGACTCCCCAGATATTCAGCATGCATCTGACCTGTGGGTTGAAGGGACAGTGAAAGAAGGCATGAACAGTGACAGTGGGGCAAGACAGCCATGTTTGTGGTGCTGGCGTCCCAGCCTTGTGAACACTTAATCCACACAACATTGAATGGACAGTTCTCATTTGTAAACAGAGGAGCTTTCTCACCAGCACACCTTTCACCCATCCAAACTTCACAGCACCAGCCTGATCTTCTTCCTTGTTCTCAGCTTGTTCATCTCCAGGCACCCCGTCACCGTTGGCAACCCTGTCAGCCGAACCTGGGGCCACCGCCACATTCTGCATTGTTACAGATAGCAAAAATACAGTAGTCGGTCAACCAATGAACTGTTCCATAACACTTTCAAAGGTAAAGCAAAACAATTGACATAAAACTTTGGATCCCCCCCCCAAAAGTATGGGGAGACATATATTCTAGTCACTTCTAGTAATTTTTTTTTTCCCCCTAGGAACTGATGGGTTCCTTTTGTGAGTGATTTTTAGGTATGGCTAAGACTGCAAGGGTAGTGGAGGGAGCCTGAGCAGTTCTTCCACTGGTGAGAATATTTCCTTTGGTGAAAGTGGTCAGATTTGCATACATTTAGAACACAAAAAGAACAAAGGAGAGAAGAAGAGATGCAAGGGGGGAAAGCCCAGAAAGAGTGGATGAGAGTCATTAGAAGGCATGTTAGGTGGGACAACCTAACATGAGGATAACCTCATGAGGTTAACCTTCCTAACCTAACCAGGCGAGGTTAACCTTCCTCAGTTATGCGGGATCTCTGGACTTCTTTCCGTTAACCTCCTTGTGCTTCATTTTATTCATCTAAAATCATGATGATAAAATTTCTCTACTCACCTCAGAGGATCTTTAAGAAGGTTCAATGAAAGAACACATAGAAATGTTTTCTTAAAAAAAAGAGTTTATAGTATTCTACAAAAGTTTAAAGTCACTGGATGACTACAAGAATGTTATTCCTATAGGGGAAGATTCTCTCGGATTCCATATGCCTTTGCGTGAGAATTGTTGAATGTGCTGTCATATAGAAGGTAAGAAATTTCATAACTGACTTCTAGAAAGACTAATTCAGTAGAAATAAGAAGTAGTATAAATAAGGGTTTAAATTTTTATGTCATTTTTTTCCTGTGGCTTAATTCTGAAAAAGATCATCCTTCTCAGTAGGACAGTCTCTGAGTTCAGTGAGGGAGGAAACAGCTCTGTTTCTCTCAAGTTAAGAGTAACTCTCAATCTCTAATTTCACTTTAGATGTGACTTTGAATAATTTCAGATGAACCTGCTTAATGTAGCTTATCTGGCACCTACCTGGCTCTTTGGGTAGACTATACACCTCTTTGAGCTCTGGAAAAAACTTTTTTTTCTAGGAAGTGCTTTGGAACCATTGGAGAAACCTCTCAGATTCAGCACTTAATTACCATGATTATTGAATAATTTTATAGTATTTAAGTAGTCTAAATTGGTTTAAGCCTAAGATTATATGTTCTGACATCGCTAGCTAAAAAGTCTTGGACAAGAACATTTTTTCCCCTCTAAAATGGAACTGGTGTGAAATAAACATTCAATATTTATTATAAGGTCTTTTTTTTTTTTTAGGATGATTGATGTTCTTGCACTTGCCATCCTCAAGGGCTCTTGTTTCTTTGGGCTTTTCTGTGTCATTAGCAGACCCACTATAAACTGACCTTAATTTGGGCTATTTACTGCAAGTCACTTTGACTTCTTGTCTTCCTCCAACCTGTTCTTCTTCTCTACCTAACCAAGGATTTCTCCCTGACTTTCTTCTCCCAGGAGACTTTGTTCATAATACCATGGTGACACTTGAATAACTAAAGTAATCAATGTACTAAGAGTCATTGTATGACAACTGAAATGGAGAAAAATTTAACATTTAATTACCATTATTATAGAATACTAGTAGTCATTCTATGTCGTGGATTACTTTCCTTAGTGTCAGTGAAGGGCTTGCCATATAGCAGACCATCAATAAACAATGCTGAATCCCTAAGGTGGGCTTAAAAGTCCCCGATCTCTACCACTTGGGAGCAGACACCCTAGTTTCTTATCCATTCTTGCCGCCTATTTCTTTTCCATTCCTTCCCTGTGGGGCAGTCCATTTCTTACTGTTTCCTCTGTGCAAACCACATTTAAAAGAGGAGATAAAGGGAATGAATCCCAAGCCACATTATCTTATTATTTTTTGACAGCATTGGGAAAAAATTGAATGACAGAGGAGATTAAAATTCATAGTTAAAATTTAGTTTTGAATTATCTGAGGAATATGTTAATCTTAAGCATCACCAGTCTCTATTTGCACAAATAATTGAAAACTGACATCATATATTCATACCAATGTAAGATATGTATAAACAAAGTCTGAAGAAATTGAGGCTGAACTGGTAGGGCAGAAACAAGTGATCTATATCAGCTACAGATGCAAGCCATGTATGTAATTCAAAATTTTCCAGTAGCTATTTTTTAAAAAGTAAAAAGAAATTGGGTCAATAACTTGGGTTTAGATGTGGACTCCTAAATTTTAAAAATATATTTAATCTTTGTAGACTATCGTATTTCTAATATTTGCAATATAAGTATTGGCTAGCGGTAGTTGTACCCCGATTTGTAGGAGGGAACTGAATTACAGAGTGTTTTAATAATATATTTTATTTAATAGAATCTATGTAAAATATTATTTCAACATATAATCAGTATAAAAATATTAGTGAAATATTTTACACTCTTTTTTTCATACTAAGTCCTTGAAATCCAATGTATATTTTTAACTGACAGCACATCTCAATTTGGACTAGCTGCATTTCAAATGCTTAATAGCCGCATGAGCATTTGAAATACTACCGTATTGAACAGCACAGCTCTACACAATACAGTCGATTTCAGATGGATGAAACATTTGAGCCTGTTTTCCAGTCAATTAAAAACACTTTTTTTTCTCTGAAAGAATTCTACACACATAAGGCAGCTGAATGGGTCAAATGTAACTTTCATTTTTCATAACTGAAACGTATAATCAATGAGAGCAGGGAATTGAGGAATGTGTTAAAATGTCCATGAATGTTGAAGAGATTATTTGGTTTGGGGATACATTTATTTGCCTTGATTTGAGAAAAACTTTTTTTTAATTGTCAATATTCTAGTTAATCAAGGTCTCATAGCCAGACCGTCAGCAACTACTTATTCGGGGAAAAGGCAGTTTCCTTTGCCTAGATTAATTGAGGATCCCATGAGACAAAGCCTGAGTCACTTGCCTTTTTAAAGAAGTCTTGGGAATAAAACCCATGTTTTCTGATTAAACCTGAACTTGAAGATTTGGTCCAGGAAATTACTCGGATGAACTCTAATGGTGACTGTGACCCTTAGATCTGAATTAATGAGAATACCAATGACTGTAAAAAAAATCTTACAAATTAGGCTAAAGGATGAATAATATATTTAAAATTTCCCCTTACATGAACATTTCTTCCTGCTGGATACCCCTCCTGGTCACAGTTTAATGGTCCTTCAATTTATCACTAGGACTTTACGATATGATGCAAAAAAGAATATTCATTGAGGGCATGGCAGAGAAACCACCATATACAGAAACAGAAATTAGTAAAGCAATCATTTTCTAAATTATAAAAAAATATAGTCAGTGTATGGTGTTCAACTCTTCCTTAGATAAATATGTTCAATCTGCTACAGTTTCAAAGTTTTAAATATATTTAGACCACAGAGGGGGAAAAAACCTTGAATGCATACTTCTCTTGTTGACCATTAAGATCTGAGAGAAAATTTACAAGCATAGAAACCATTTCCATGCTCACTATCATGTAGGAGCCAAAAAATCCTGCACCGTATAAACTAGGAGACTTAGAATCCAATTTTGGCTGTGTAATCAACTCAGGGTGTGTCCTCCAGCAAGATGTGTTATCTTTCTTCTATACTGCCAATGAGAATAAATCCAATGAGTTTTCCAAAAATTTTATTTTGAAGCAGTTTACTCTAAGTCAAAATCCTTTTTTCTATGTTTGCCATCTTCCTGTTCTGACGTGGCAAAGCAAACCTTGGTTTCAGTTTTTAATAAATGCCTCCTTTGTAAGTCAGAACAGCAATTATAAATCCAACTTATCATAAAAGTACTGAACATGACTTTGGGTTGAGGGTTTGTGGAGAGTTGGTGGCTATGAGCTGTAACCAGTGGCTTTCAGACTCCCGACTCGACTCGTTCATGTTCTTGAGACCAAAGTCTCAAAACTAAAAGTTTTATGATTGTTGTCTTGAAACTAGTTTTTTTCCTTCACACTTTGAATTGATTTGTTTGTTCACACTCCATTACCATAAATGATGACCTGTAACATTTTATAAATGCATTTTAAATGCATAGCTTTAGGCAATGATTATTTATTTATCAAGAGTTTTACCTGAGCATTCAGAGAAGGTAAAATAAAATAAAGTACATTTAAAAAAAGAAAGATCATTTGATAAAAAAAAGACTTTCCCCTTTCCAATACTGGTAAACTAGTAAATCTTCAATCACGTGTAATTTAAATGGTAAATTACTGAAGAGTTGTAAGATGAAAGATTAAATTGTTTTATTTAACACGTAATATCATTTTTCAGGCTCCAGAAAAATGACAAATGTCTTTCTAGGTATCATCAAAGCAGAAGAAATTAATATGTTTATTCTTAATTCCAACTAGGTAATATTTGCTACTTATACATGCTTTCAAGTTTTGAGCCTTTAATCCCAGGGTGATAGAATTCTTAGATCATCATTGAGAAATAGTTCCCTAAATATTTAGGCCTAGATGATCTCCCATTGTTTTAAACTTTCTTTTATTATTGACACATTCAAACATATGCCAAAGTAAGGAGAATAGTATAATAAATCTCATGTACTTATCACCCAGGTTCAACAATTATCAACATATGGCCAGTCTTATTCTATCTAAGCCCACCACACCTTTGCCACTGAATTATTTAAAAACCAATATCGCCAAGACCTAGATAATTCCTAAGGTTCATTTCAGAATAGAAAACATGTGATGCTAACCATATTTCCCTATCTTATCGATCAATATTATTATGTTTGTGTGTTTCTATCCCTTTGTGATAAAGGCTAGTATTTTAAATACGAAAATGAAAGGTTTGTTTTTCGTGTTTTAAAAGTTATTGCAAACTATGCCTATATTCACTACTAATGATCACAATTTGTAGTCATAGAATTTTACTATATCTGAAGATATATATCTCACACAGAAATTGATGTGTTTTTAATAACTCAGGCCAAAAGTTAGCTATATGCAATAAACTGGCATATGAAAAAGAAAATTAAAAGGTTCTTAATATTTTCCCAGTATACCTTTACAAGAACTCCTACTCTTCTCACCATCTATTACTGAACTATTTATAATGGGAAATTACACTTTTTTGCTTTTGTTTTATTTCCACAGATGATTTTAATAGTGTGAGCTCCCAGGGGAACTCTCCTTGAGTACTAAGAAAATCTAACAAGTATCATTAGTTGCAGAATTTTACTCCAACAAATATTTTAGGGGTGGCTTCTGGTTACCACTGGCCTGTAAGGCATTTATTACTTCAATTTTAATGCTTATTTTATTTGGCTGCTGTTAGCTTAGTGATTATTTCTAATTTTAGATACCCCAAATTTGAATGCTAAAGTTAACAAATTTGAACTTTGAAATGCTCTAGAAAAGATTACTTTTTAGAGAAAACATTTGTACATTTTTGTCCTTTCATAAAGGATGAGCATTTAATAACTTGATTTATGTGGGTTTAATGTTTGTGAACTTGACTACATGTCCTTTATTTCTATTCATAACAATGTCATTTGACTTATATCATAAAATTCTAGAAGGAAGAGGTCAAATCTCTTTAATGCACTTTATACAGTAGCTCTTGTAAATAAATACTTAATAAATGCTTTTTATGATGACCATGAAAATGATTGAGACCTATAATTCTGTAGGACAAGCAATATGATTTCTTGGCACAGCCCCAGAAACAGGACTGACATAAGGAAGGACCTCCTGCTCAGCCCCTCATGACTGAGCTGTGATTTTCTTCTTTGTGCTGAGTACCACCTTTCTCTCTAGCTGTTGAATGAGCTAAGGCAAAGTGCCATGGGAGAGTAGACTGAGGAAGGAAAGTAGTAATAAACAGCAAGGACTCTGGAGTCATGAAGAATGCATTCAATTTATCAGCCATATGACCTTGGCCTCGTGATGTTGGAATTTCATTGACTTTTCCAAATCTTTGTTTTCTCTTCTAAAAGATCCATAGCATTTTGTAAAACTGTCACCATCTATAAAATAGCAATAATAATAGTACCTACCTTGAGAGGTTGTTGTAAGGAATGAGTAAGAAATTTTTACATGTGAGCACAGTGTCCGATGCATAAAAATTCTCAGTGACAATTTGGTTATTACTACCCTGCAATCAATCTTAATGCTTTTATTTACAAATTATTTTTAGTTGTTAACAGCCTAATGGCCCAAATGTGAAGTCATCCCATTATTTCTGTTATGGATCAGTTTCTATATGGTTGGCCTCATTAAAAACAATATTTCTGTCTTAATTTTTATAATATTTTACACCTTTCATAGATAGTTTAGTTCAATGACATCATAATACATGAGTTTGATAGAAAGGCTGTATATTTTCCTGAATCCTTTATAATTATATCTTTTTTCTGAAATACTAACAATGGTGGTTAGTAATGCTGAAAAGGAGTTACATTTCAGTTAGTCCTGTAGTTTAGAACTGTGTGTGAAAAGATTGGATACTGAAAGCAGAATTCTCTTTACAAAGTAAAGTTACTAGATTAATCTTTGCCAGATATCAAATAATGATTTCATATGTTTTGATAGGGAAAGATCTTCAAAGTACATTGTTAGAAACAGCAGAGTGCAGAACAATGTGCAAAATATGTTTTGATACATGTTTGGAAAAATAATACAGGCAAAAAGTTAGATATTAATATAGATATTTATAGATGTTTGTATACGCCTAGAAAATTTTGAGAAGGATTTACGAGAAACCGTCAGTAATGATTGCTCTGGAAAGAATAACTGAAAAATTCATGTTAGATGAGAAACATTTTACTATATATTTTTTAGTACTTGTTCAATATTTTATCAGTGTATATTTTACTTTTTAAATAAAAAGCTAGTATAAAAATTGCCACTATCAACATCAACGGCCATTTATTGAGTTCCTACCCATTATAAGCACTGAGCTAGACTTTATATGCTAATATTCACAAGCATCTTGTAAGATAAATAGAAGTTATGTACTTTGTATAACATTGCAGAGTAAATAAATGACAGTCTTTTTATCTGCTTTTAATTAGAGTTTTCAGAAATCCATAATTAATAGCCACCAGTATAAGTATTTAGCTCTTTTCTCCATAGAAAACAAAAAGCATTTCTTCAATTAGAATCTCAAATCATTAGGATTACAAATTCTGTCAATTTCTATCATACCTAGAGTTTCACTTAAGGCAGAGACTTAAAATAATGTCTTTCAAGCCTATTTTTCATTTTACCTATTAGAAAAATCTAGTTATGCAATTTTTTTTCTGACTTGGAAATTATAACCAAGATTTGCATAAAAATTCAACTGTTTTTCTGTCTAAAAATAGTCTGTTATTCAGTATGAATATGCCATTGCTATATGGCTTTTAAAAGCATTATAATCATGGGTATAAAAAATATTGCCTTACTTGTACTATGTCAATACTTTCCACTTTTAAATGATTTAAGTAAATACTATTATTTGCATTTTTTGCATACCAAATCTATGAAGTGTCTGAGTGTAGTTATGTAATGTTTATTTTATTGATGATTTCTAGTTGCGATGTGAGGAACTACCGTAAAAATGTCAAGGGCCTAGGAGGTGGAAGCACAGCTACCTTATTTTGCAGGTCTTCATCTCTTATGTCAGGGGGAGAAAACAATTAAATTAAATTCTCTAGCAAAGAAGAAAGAGAGAAATTGAAGAAGGCCCAGACTGTTACACATGGAGAGGCAGCCTGGTCCATACACCTTCAGCAACACTAGAATGTGCTGGTGGCTGCAGAAACGTGCCCATTGTACGTTGCATGGTTAAATTTGAATTCCACTCCCAACTGGGCTATGTGGATACCTCTACATGATTTAATCAGGATGAAGCACTCTAGATAAGTGAGGGTCAAGTTTATAAGCAGAGTAACTTTTTACTAAACTGGTTCAAAACGATCATTCAGGGAATTGAGCTTAAACCTAAATTTTAATAGATTGAATTTTCCATTCCTTTGTGTCTGAGAAAAGAAGTGCTATAAGTCAATGTGAAGTCCTTAGTCTCATTTTGTCTCTTCAAAAGTGGTATGATATCCCATACAGCTATCAAATTTGTCCAGTGCAGCTATCATATTTCTACTGTGCGGTCATTCGATGGCTTTCTAAACAACTGTTCTTTCAGGGCTTTTCTCCCTTCAGTGAAAGATTTATATAAGCCATGACTTTAGAAATTATAAATAAGCTACTTTTCTCTCTCTAGAATGTCAGTCCTAAGAATGATGTGAGTTTACTCCATTTCCTTTTTAACAGAGTTAAAATTCTATTTTCTTTTGTGGTAAATTGGAGATGAATGAGAGTATTTAATTTTGATACCAATTTTAATGAAGGAGGCAGTTTTAAAAATTGTCACGTGTAATGTGGTAAAGTATTGTGGGATAGAATTTCAGGTCTTTTTTTTGAAGAACTTTAGTTCAATTTACTTCTTCAGAATAAATCAAAATCTCTTTACACAGCCCTAAATTTCTCTTTCTGCCCCTTCCACATCTTGGAAATTCCTTGTGCCTGCTTCTGTCAACCTTCTTTTTCCTTTCGTTCTTTTTCTCTCTTTTGACATTTTCCTTTCCTCTCCTCTCACATAGAAAAAGAAGGTGACACCTCAGTCTGATTTCAGGAGTTTCAAATTGCCTCCCTTCTCAAAACTCTTCTTGGGGGCTGACTTTTTGTCTGAAATGGCCATATTGCTAACGTCTTTTGATTAAAGCACCAAATATTCCACATAAAATCTAAATCTTATGTTGATAAAGAAACCAGCCATTTAGCAGAGTGTTACTGGTATGGCATATACGACAAGCAAGTTTTGATGGGGAGAGGGGACAGGGAACAAAGTTGAGAACATGGGCACCTCCTCAGCAAGCCACTCAGTTGCTGGTGGTAGGACCCAGAGTCAGGGACCCTAGCAGCCAAGGGGAATAAGTTTTGGAGATGGAAGGAAGGATGAGCAGAAACTAAAGACAGATTTTTGCCTTTATTAGCATCTTTGCTGAGAGCAGTATTCCTAGAATCTCCTGGAGTGGATAACCATTTAATAAAAAATTATTGAATGAATGAACATGATAGGAACTGTTTTAATCATTTTTTCCCCTCTTTGCAAAACTTGGTTGAGAGTAAACTCATTTGAATATGTGACATCTAAATATTCTTTTTAGCAAGTAATTGTATTCCATAAAGAATGATATTCATTCCAAACTGTGTTCCAGAAGAGCAGGAAGATAAAGTCCATCGACATATTTTAGAGCAAGCTATGGAAGAAGAAATCTAATAAGCCTCTAAATGATTTGCTACAATATTAGAAAAAAATGCTGCCTCATACTTCTAGCAGATTTGGGAACCCTGGCTATATTCCTTTAATAATGAAAAGTTTAGCCACTTCTGCTGCTTCTGTATGTAAATTTAATTTAGTTATTTTGTACGCTTAAGTGTGTTCAGGAGGCTTAGGCAAAGTTTTAAAGAGGAAGGGATAAAAGGCAGACTCATAAGAATCTCTACTCTCCCTTTAAAGAATATAAAAATACCCATGCACACTAAAGGCTGGCACCCATGGTATTAACTACCACAAGCACAGTGATTTTTTGTAAACAGTTGGTATAGAGGCATTAACTCTGAGGTGGAACCAGCTTAATATTCAGTTTGACATGTTTAACCAAGTGTGAATTGAGTAGACTATAATTGTAAACAAGATATGACATATTGCCCAACTTTTAGAGTTAATTCTTTAGTTCTCTATCCTAAGGCAGTAAACATTTGGGAAACACTTCTTGTGTGTTTTCTGTTTTGGGGGAACTTGAGACAGTTATATAGGTAAGATGGATGGTTTGCAATAGATCTCTTCATTTGACTGTTTCACATTCATGGCATTATGAGAGAGGAGGAAATGACTTGAAGGAATGAATAAAGGAGGATACTTGCCTGTGTCCTTCAAGCTTACCTTTGCAAGTTGCTCGTGAATCTCAAGCAGGCTGGGTCGGTTGACCTTGGGCCCACTGATGCTGCCAGTGTTGCGATAGTACTCAATCTTGGGAACAGCATCCATGGTGTTGTTGCCAAAGGTTTGTAGGTAATATGTGTTGGTATGAGAATCATAAGCATGGAAATTGGCATCTGTTTTAGCAGTTTCTCCATTTTGGAGGAAATTGTCGTAGCACTCCTGATTCCCAGGCCTAAAGCTGATTCTGAGTCTGTTCTGGGCTTCATCTCCAAACGAGGTTTCTTCATAATGTGGCGGGTCAATGTTGTCATTCACAGCCTCACTGCTCTCATGGTTCTCATTTATGACATTAACTTGAAAGCGATTGGTGTTACTGGGTACCGAATCCAGAAATACATTGGAAGAGTTGTTCAGTGACATCTTCCAAAACGTATTTTTTCGACTAAACTATCTACTTTGTAATCGTGAAAAAAAAAAAAATCTATGTATTTTTCTCCTCAAAAGAAACACTAGTGGTTACATTAGGGAGCTCCTGGCTTTTGTTCTAGATGGACTCAATAAATAGATTCTTGATATATTGTCTCCTATATTATCTTCAGGATGTTCTTCAAATCTGTCATTGCAAAAGAAAATTAAGCTTGTTCCAAGTAATGCAAAAATATTTAAGTAGGTGTGGGGCAAGAGGAAATAGTTTTCTTTTACAAGACACACAACTTTAAATTCATTTCACTAAAAATTACCTGTTCAGGAACGTTAGTCACCTGAGCAATTAAATTGTGTAATAAATAACTGGAGACCTGCTTCAGCAAACAGAACTTCCAATGAAGTCATGAAAACTTCACCTGTGTTTGTAGTATTTGCTTGGATTCACTGCACTGAAATTCAATCTGACTTTAGAAAAGATGTAACTCTACCAATTGTGTACAGTAAGAACTGATGAGAATATTCTCAGCCTGAAAAATAGTTCATTGATAGTACTAAATGCTTAGACTGCAAAATACTTTATGATTGATAAGAATATAAATTATGCAATAAATAAAATGAAAAGAAATAAAAAAATCTAAAAAATATGTTCTTGCTAGTTTACAAAAATCTGTATCTGTTTAAGTAATAAAATTGCTCTAGAAATGTTTTGTTACCTATGCAACAAGTGAAAAATTATATTTTAGAATGTGAATTTAAAAATACAACCTGTCAAGCTGATGTCTCTGTAAATTCTTGAATCTTTTACTATCCTTCAAAATGTTTCATTTGTTCATATATTTGTTTTGCAAACAAATTATGGAAACTTTAAAAGAAATACATGAGTATTTGGGGGTAAGAAAATAAGTCATAGCCCTTAATGAAGTCATGTGCTATATTTAGGTAAAATAATCATGCTCTACTAACTCCCTTTAATGAAAGGTCTTCAATAATTGAGAGGTTTTAGATGAATAGACTTTATAATAATTTTCACAATTTCACAGTATTGGCCTGTCTTAAAATATTTTATTTAGAATGATATTTCTTTATCAATCTCTTAAAATTTGGCTTTTCAAAGAAAATTCTAGAAAGATGAGATAAATATAAACAAAAAATTGCCTCTCTCATGCAGTTATTAAAGCTATTTCTTTGAATAAAAAACTTCAACTCTCAAATAACCTTTCCCGGAGAAATTATAAGTGAAGTTGTTATCTTTTTAGTTTCTGCAAAAACATCTCTCTGCTCTTCCTTGACATCCTCATCTTTATACTTCACTCCTTAGAATCTACTATATGACGTCATATTAAGTGCGATTTTTTCACCCTGCCCAGAAATGTTTAACTTACCACCAAGGAGCCTTCTTCGGAGAAAGCCTATCCTACTTCGGCATCACCCAGGAATATATGGGGCACTTAGCTTTCAGCCCAGATCATTAGGCTTCTTCTTATTGGTTAGAACTTTTCTTGAAAGAGATGACTCTTCAATGATTGGCCTGGAATAGCACCGTAAGCCCCACCCAGTCATTAGCCCTGAGGAACAAACTTTAAGTTACCACATCAAGGGCAACTAGCAGTAAACCATTAATCCTTTTAGACAGAAAGTAAAAAAAAAAAAAAAAAAAAAAAAAAAAAGTTTCTTTAATTCATAAGGAGAATTGAATTGCTTTAACAGCAATCATGCAAAAAATGTGAGTGTTGCTTTAGCTGTTCGGGGCTAAATAAATTGGGTCCCATTGTCTATCTTATTTCAGATGAGCCCTAGTGATCTCCCATTATTTAGTATGTGCACCAAAATACAGTACTCCAGAGATAATTTCTGTACTTTGTAACTAGAAAATGGTATCTGAAATTATTTTCTCTTGTTTGTAGTAGATATTACCTTGATTCCTCTTTTCATGGGAAGTGAGCAGATTGAGAATGAAATCAATGATCTATTGAACATATTTCAGCCTAGTGGGAACACCGTTTCAAGCAGGAATAAAACTGTGGGTTTGTTTCCCAGTGGCACTACTAAATGACCTTTTTGTCTCCAACTGGAAAAACATTTTTTATCAAATCTGGTTTTTGAATTTTGTTGAGGAAGGTTCTTTTTCAAATTTGTGAGTAGGTGATTATTAACACAGCACAAACAATTCCTCCCTGTAGGTTCTGTCACTGGTTTTCAATCAGGATGATTGAATGAGTCTTCCTTGTGTCTTATAAGAAACTAAGTGATTCTCAGTTGTCTGAGTAGCTTGGTTGTGGTCTAATACAGCGGTTAAGAGAAGACTCTGAAGTCAGAATGCTCAGTTTATATCCTGGCCCTGCCACTTCCTATCTGTGTGAACTCAGGCAAGTTACTCAATCTCTTTGTGCCTTAATTTTCTCATCTGCAAATGCAAATATGGATAATAATGGTACCTACCTTGTTATAGAGTTATTATGAAGAATAAATGAGTTAATCTGTGTATAGGATTTAGAACATAAACAGTTTATATGCAGTGCTTGCTTCTACTATTTCAGCATTATTTGCAATTGGCTGAAGACTTTTACTTAGCCATATCTAAGATTCCAAAAATCATTAGAGACCGGGATAGGTATTATATTTTTGCCTCCTAAAAGAAAGTTAAAGGTAAGTTAGTGAACAGATACAGGAGATAAAGGAATCTGGAGATACCTAAGTGAAACACCTTCGATTTTCTTAGTCAGGTAAATGTCATGGTAATCAGTCAGGCTAGTGAGGCTATATCAGAAATAGAGACAGAATTACAAGTATGTACCTAAACTCATTCTGCTCTTAAAGGCTATCAGCACAAGACAGTTACCTATTCAACAAAGGATTCCGAATGCCCGTAGAGAAGGTCTTTGGACATAGGAGCTAGTCGCATTTCAGACTCAGCTGGGAGGGGCTGGTTATTTAGATCAGGACTGGGGGCAGCTAGGATGGGGCTGGGATCCCAAAGAAGTTCTCTCCAGCCAACCAGGACAGGAGCTGTGAACTAACATCTTCTAACCCTTTCAGGAGCCACCTATTTATTCTGTAACCTTATCCCTCTACTGAAGACTGTGAATGCTTCTGATACCAGTCAATTTCCTTTTTCTCGCTGACTGACTGCCTGACTTCAGTGTAGCGTGAATTAGTTTTAGTCTTGGTCTTACATCAACTAGACATTTTCATTCTAAGCCTTTTATCTCTAACTGTGAAATGAAAGTCTTTGTTCTCTATTAAGGGAATTCAGACATTCTGGAGCAGATGGGAGATGGTTTGGGGGATACGGATGAAATTACACCATCCATAAAGCCAACCTTGAAAGGGGAACCTGATTTAAGCCTTTCAGACATGTGGGTGAGGTAACAGGAGCAAGCTGGGTGGAAGTACGTGCCTCTGTCTTTCCTCCTGTCGTCCCTGATGCGGGTCTTCGGAAGGCGAGGCTAGAGGCCGATCTGGCTATGGCATTGAACATCTATTCCTAGAAGAATGAACATTTAATAAAATTTCCACCTTGTATCCATACTGTAACCAGCTTTTTCTATTTTTCTTTTCTTTTCTTTCTTTCTTTCTTTTTTTTGAGACAGAGTCTCACTCTGTTACCTGGGCTAGAGTGCTGTGGCATCAGCCTAGCTCACAGCAACCTCAAACTCCTGGGCTCAAGCGATCCTCCTGCCTCAGCCTCCTGAGTAGAGGGGACTACAGGCATGTGCCACTATGCCCAGCTAATTTTTTATATATATATTTTTAGTTGTCCAGCTAATTTATTTCTATTTTTTTTTTTTTTCAGTGGAGACTGGGTCTCGCTCTTGCTCAGGTTGGACTCGACCCCCTGAGCTCAAACCATCCGCCCGCCTTGGGCTCCCAGAGTGCTGAGATTACAGGTGTGAGCCACCATGCCTGGCCTCTATTTTTTATATTATTTCTAGTTCTGAAAAAAAATACAGATGCTGACCTTCCTTGCCTCCCCCGCCCCTCCCCAAAAAGGTCTAAGATACACAAATAAAACCATGGATAAAGACAGTTTTGGTTAATAAAATTTTTCTTCAGTGGAATTGGAAATAATATTGTGGTGGAGCTGGTTATATCTGAAAAGCTTATGGGAGTTGAATTTTCAGAAACAATGCTCATATTTTATAAAGTTTTCTTGTCTTTTGGTTTTACGTGCCTTTCTTCTTTCGAAATAAAGATCTGCCCTTGTTTTTTTCTAGTCACCAGAATGGAGGGTCTTGGTGGGTGTCTTCTCTAGGAGATAAATGGAACACATGTGGTACTTGAATGTGTATCTTGGAGAGTACTTTAAAAGCCTTGGTCACAAAACAGATGCCTAATCTCCTGGCATATACAACTTTCTATGTGTTCAGCTGAGCATGGACCAATGAGGTGTTTTGGGGCCGAATTACTAACTGGCTATGAGGTGTTCTAGGTCTGTACTTTTGTACCAACTGGGGTACAAAGAGCCTCCTTGAGATGAGGGTTTGGTCCAGAGGATCCACAGCCAATAGTGATGTGTTCTAAATCTACTGTGAGATGGAAAGCATCAAGGAACCTCACTAAGACAGGTGGTCTGGGAGTGCCATAGACCTGAATAGTGATCATGTTTATAAGATATGTAGAAGGATTGAGGACAGTGTCTAGGAGTACAGCAGACATTAGTCTGCCCAGGTTCAATTCCTAACACAAACCGTTCCCTAGCTTGGTGACTTTGGGAAGTTACTTAATCTCTCAACTTCAGTTCCTTATCTATGAAGTTGAGAAAAAAATGAAGTGGAAATAGTAGTCCCAAACTCAATGGCTTGATACAAGTATCAAATTCATGGAAAGCACCTAATTTAGTGCTCTCAGTAAATATTAGTCTTATTCCTTCTTGATATGTTTGGCAGTTCCGTGTTCCCAAATGACGTAAGTATTTTTGTATTTATTTATCTCTTGCTGTATTTCTTCATTCTGACTCATAGTCAGAATTTTGTAATTGGAAAGAATTTTAGAAGTGTATAATTCTATCTTTTCATTTCTCAAAGAGAATGAAGATTGGAGAGATTAACATTGCTTCTTAGGGTTTGAAAATCTCTATTACCACTGATGATGAGGATAATAAATAATGATAGCAAGATATGTTTAAACACTGTTTTATAGTTCCTTCACATTCATTATATCTCATTGATCTTCCCAATATTCCTGAAGATATGCAGGATGGGTGTCTTTGTCCTTGTTTTACAGATGTGGAAACTTTCTAGGTCATAAAGCTAGTTCTTGGCTGGGCCAATATTGGAATTCAAATCTCTGAGTTTAGACTCCTGATCTGAAAAACTTTTCATGATATCTTAAATCCTCATTCATCTCATATCTCTGGGTTTTTAGGTACATTTGCAGCATTCATAGGGCACTAAAATTGAAAAGGGCATTAGAACTCCTCTGGTTAGCTCTCTCTCTGAAGTCCGCAGGGAGTAGATGACTTGCCCGAGGTTGTAGGGCTCTAATGGTGGCAGCGTGGAGACTATCCTCCTTGTTTGTGGTAGAGTGCTGTTTCCACCAGGTCATGCCGGAAACTCCCTTTTTAATTCTATTTATACAAGAGGTAGGGGAAGGAGTACCAGTATGAAGAAGGTCTGTTTTGGATCCCAAGCTATAAAATTTTATTGCAAGAGATTCAAAGCTCTAGAAGGGTCTGAGCTTTGTGAGATTTGGGGACTTTTAGGTCCTGTGGCTTGCTTATAGTATTTAGGTGTTAGTTTTTTGAGTTTTCTTTACCTGTGAATCTTTTTGACATATGATTATTATTAGAAAAATCATATTCTATTTATTCTTTGTCTGAAGGCTCCTCATGTTTAAGACTGAATTCACTAAAGCTAAAACAGCCTGAATCTGGAATGTGGAGAGGGTGCCTGAGCTGTGCAGAGGAGAGAAACAGGGAGGCTCTAGCATAGTTTATTAGCGCAAGAAAGGAAGCAGAAATTCAAGGCAGATGTTTGCGATAAGAATACAAATGATATATATGGCGGAGCAATCCTTATGCTCTATTCGTTAGAAGCCTCCATTTGGGGACAGAGGAAAGTGACAAATTCCAATCATGGTTTATTATTTACACAGCATGATGGGTAAATTAATCACAGATGTTTATTGAATTCAACGAACTAACTGAACTATTCTCCCGCACACTCAAGGTAACTACAAATGTATCCACCACTTGTCCCAATGGCATAACCACAAAACCTGTCAAGCTAGAACTCTCATGCCAGTGCATATTCAAATGTCCCTTTATCGAACTCTTCAACTTCATCCTCCCAGGTAGAGGAAGGCATGCTACTATATGGGTCTAACAGGATTTTGAAGCATCTGATAATTAGAAGTCCCAAGAAAATACACAAAATCCCAACAAAAGCAAAGCCAGTCTTTTGCTCCAGAGTCAATGAGAAAGCTGATACTTCGTTGACACTCATCTTAGCTGAAGAGTTGCCACAGTAGGTACTACTCATTATTCACAGGTGCATTGTTGCAGCTCTTCACAATTCCTGCTGGAATCACCTCTTGCCCTAGATACAAAATTGGACTCAGTTTAGTTTTACCCTTGTATGGAATTGAGCAGGTAGTCATCTCATAAAATATGGCATTTTTCAAACCCTCTTGACTGAACTCACAAAAGATATTTGAAAACATCATCAGATACCGATCAGAGTGAAATTAATATCGGAGATGCTACTTCTACTCTAGTAGTTACGGAATTGCCTTTGTGGACACATAACACTGTGCCTACATACTCTAAATATAAAATCCAGTATGAAGGTGAATATCAAATAATGGACCCTAACAGCTTTTGATTCATTGCTAGATGGTTAAGTCCCAGCTTCTTTGATCTGAATTGTCATCTAATTTTCACTTCGTTTTTGCACGTGTAAATAGTAACATAAACAATCATAAAGCATAAGCTGATCAAGCTGTTTAAACCCCATACTTCAAGGTCTATCTCCAATGCCATTTTGTCTGACACAGATTTTGCTACTTTTATTTTTATTTATTTATTTATTTTCAAATTAAATTAAAATTTTTATTTGTTTATTTTTATTTATTTATTTATTTATTTTTTTGGGATAGAGTCTCGCTCTGTTGCCCTGGCTAGAGTGCCATGGCATCAGCCTAGCTAACAGCAACCTCAAATTCCTGGGCTCAAGTGATCCTCCTGCCTCAGCCTCCCAGGATCTGGGACTACAGGCATGTGTCACCATGCCCAGCTTATTTTTTTCTACAATTTTTAGTTGTCTGGCTAATGTTTTCCTATTTTTAGTGGAGACGGGGTCTTGCTCTTGCTCAGGCTGGTCTCAAACTCCTGACTTCTAGTGATCCTCCCAGCTCGGCCTCCCAGAGTGCTAGGATTACAGGTGTGAGTCACCACGCCCGGCCAAAATTTTTTTTTTTTTAAAGACAAGGTCTTGCTCTGTCGCCCAGGCTGGAGTGCATAGATCATAGCTCACTACAGCTTCCAATTCCTGGGCTCCTGGACTAAGGGATCCTCCTGCCTTGGCCTCTACAGTAGCTGGGATTACAGGTACAGGGCCTGATCCTTTTAAACAGATATAATGTCTTCTCTCTTTTTCACCACCTTAGCTTTTATATTTATGTGCTTTCATTTTTTTCTCCACTACCACTTCATACACTGAATGTCAATTTATTAAAGGCAGAAATTATGATTTTGAAATTATATTAACACAAGCAGTGCCAACATAACAGCTTGCAAGTAACAAGCAGCAGTAGCTGTGGCTGTTAGCCACCTCCCCACTATTGCCATTAGCTTTCAGAGCACCTTATATAAACATAAAATCCAAGTTAAACAACAGCATGTTTTCTCTGCAAACTCAGCTTCAAGACAAGCACCCCAGAGCCCCTCCCAGCCAGATTTCTATTCCTAAGTCCCTGCAATGTCGAGATTGTAAAACTACAACTAAAATGTTCAGAAAGTATATGTTGAATTGAAACAAAACTGTTTTTTCCCACTTGATGTCTTAATAAATGAATTAAATCAAATTAAATCAAAAGAAAAATTAGTTAACTAAATTAAATGATTACTAATGTACGGCTACCTTTTTTGAGAGAACTATCACCAAATAGGTTGTCATCCAATAAATGAGAATGATAGACTGTTGGCATTTTCTTTTTTTATTGTTGCTGCTTCTGATTATTTCTTAGAATTATGTTTATTAAAATAATTGGTGCTTGAGATTTTTTTTTGGACTCAATTTTCAGAAAGCAACTGAGACAGGACAAGGGATGGTAGGTAAAGATTGCAGAATGAGAGTAATAACAGTCTTTGTAGTTTTCAAAATTATTCTGCAAATAGTATACCAATTAATACAATTGATGTTTTATTTTATAATGGTTTGGATTACAAAAGAGCTTTATCTCAAACCCTAAGTGGCAAAAATATGCAACATTCTGGGGTATGCTATTTTTTTTTGACATTTTGTTCAATAAAAGGGAAAAAATATTGTTCAAGTCCCTGTTGAATTTCTTTCCACTAAATCATTTTTATTCCCTACTAAACACTGTATGGTGAAAATGCTTTAATTTTTTTTAAACGTAAGAACACCTAAGTGGCTCAGAGTGAGCTTTCTGAAGATTGAGTTCTTGCTGCACTGTCTTGTAAAAGTCATAGGAGACTAGAATGAGTATCTAATGACTCTGAGACTTAACTAGAATTGAAGTTAATTTTTCTAACTAAATCGCTAATTTTCTTGCTTTTGTCAATTGAAGGTCATTTGTTGAGATCCATACACTCACTGGCTCATTTGTTTAATGAACAGAGAAACTGAATAGCAGGATATTTCTACATGGAGATGCTGGACCAAGCATACTTCATGTAAGATTTATTCCACCAAGTAACTTGTTCAAATTACTTTTAAACTAGAGTATAACCTTGTTAGGCTACAACAGTTGAATATTTCAGGGGCTATGTGGGTAAAAGGAGGCAATAAGCCTCGTTTATTGGTGGACACTGTGCTTTGTCCAGCAGAGTCCCTTCAATGAAGGATTCATTGCCCAACAGCAAGGAATGTTGCCACAAAACAGTCTTCAGCTGTCAGTGCCTTTCACTGACTGCCTCAGTTGCAGAGAGCTGTCTCACCCAAGGTCATGGCCCTTCCCAGGGAAGACCATGTTCGATGATTAATTGATGTGATAGTATAAAGTCATGGCCATCTTGACTCAAAGGGGGCAACTCTGAAGGACCATTCTAGCTCCGGAGTTCCCAATGGGGTCAGCTGAGGCTGTCTTATTGGGTTCATATCACAGCTCAACTTCTGCCCACTCCTGCTTGAGTCTCCCTTCTTCCATAGGTGTTGAGCATTCCAAGAATGTTCCTTAATAAACATCCAACAAACTGGCATACCGGCTCACACCTGTAATCCTAGCACACTGGGCCAAGGCTGGAGGATCACTTGAGGTCGGGAGTTCAAGACCAGCCTAAGCAAGAGCAAGACCCCATCTCTACAACACATAGAAAAATTAGCTGGGCGTTGTGGCGCATGCCTGTAGACCCAGCTACTCAGGAGGCTGAGGCAGGAGGATTGCTTGAACCCAGGAGTTTGAGGTTGCAGTGAGCTATGATGACATCACTGCACTCTAGCCAGGACAACAGAGTGAGACTGTCTCAAAAAATAAAAAATAAAACAAACAAACAAACAAATAAATAAAAAGCATCCAGCAAACTAAACTCTGTCTCAGGTCTGGTGCTCGGGAACCCAACCTTCAACAATTGGCATCACAAAAGTTAAAATACCTAGGCAGTTTTAAGAATTTGTTTATTTTTCAGCTAGTTCATTTTGTTATCATGTAGAAATAGTCTAAACTGGTTATAGTTAAGATGTTAGCTAAATTTATTTAGGTGTTTTTAAAAATTATAATGTAGACACAGACACAATGTCATAGCTGATTACTGGAGGAGTTAAGTCTGTTAGCTGGTGATTAATCCACTAGACTCTCTTATTTTTCTTAAAACTCACCAACACACCAAACAAAAGAGGCATTCTGTAGAGGTAGCAATAAAATACACCTCTCATTTGTTACTATTAAATTAAAACAGATATTTTCCTAGTTAGACATACAAAATCCCTTATATTTCATATTGTAATTTGATTAATGTATGCCAAATAATGTTTTGTTCTTAGAGTTTTAGAAAATATGTGGATTAGTGAGTTATTTATTATTTTTAATGGAAAAATAATTATTTCTCAAGTAGTGACCACAGTTCTTGGCATATTTAATAAGCATTTGAATTGAGTTAAACTATATATGTTGAAGAATGTAATTTCTGTTGAATAAAGTTATTATTTTTAAAAATCTAGTTTTTAAATATCCAGAACACATGAAAATTTATTTAGTTGAAAATGAAAAAGAAAACTTTTATTCAATTTCAAAAATTGACCTAGAAGATAAATATCAAAATTCATTAGTTCTTTCAGAGTTCAATGTTTCTGTTCTTTCTTATTAAATTTATTTAGCATTCTCAGAAAGACTCACATGATTTTTAGTATTCAAAGTAGTGAAAATGGATCTTTCCTTCTGCTTTCTAAGGAAAGATATGTAGCCACCATATTACTTTGGCATTAATCTGTATCAGAAAGTACAGAGTTAAATTTTGTATTCAATTCCAGTGACTTTAAGATTTCTAGGATAATTATCCCTTCTTCCTTTGCCCCTGTCCTCTACATACTTGGCTGTTACCGTTAGCTAAGAAAAAATATTGTAAGGTATTTCAAAAGCTTTTGGAATCAGGTACAGCTCTAAACAATAAATGGTTATACGGAGTCACTGTTAATAAATACAGTCACTATTTTTACACTGCTTTGGAGGAATAGATAAATGGCTACTTCATGGCTTTAAACATAATTTATAAGCACTCTTTGTTCTATTATTGGTAAAAATATAGAAGAAATGCAGTGTAACTAGGAAAAATGCTGAGAAGTGGCCAAAAACTTTGAGGATGCTGTCAGGAAGTTTAAAAAGCTGAAGGAGCTTAAGGTAACATATAACAGTATTTTAATTTATTCAATGAACAAATATATATTGAGTATCTGTTATATGCCAGCACTGTTCTTGGTGCTAGAGTACAGTGGTGAACTAGGTAAGAATGTGTGTACCTGCCATACTGAGGATTACATTCTGGTGGAGAAAATAGACATGATTATTTTAAAATATCTACCTGTATATATCCATATCTATATAATAAGCTGGGAAATCACAGTCATAAATGCTAAGAAAGAAGGCAAAGCAAGTTAAGAGAAAAGAAAATGATGGTGGATGAGGGACACTCCTTTAGTTAAAGAGGTCAGCAAAGGCCTCCCTAGGGAGATAACATTTGACCCAAGCCTGAATGATGTCTTGGAGGGAGCCATGAAAATATCTGAAGGCATAGCATTGAATTTTGAGGAAATGACCATTGCAAAGGCTTCAAGGTGGGAGAGATTCATATACGATATGTTCAGAT